ATTGTCTTTTGCCCCCGAACAGAAAGTAAAGGCACCGCACCTTTCAAGCCACCAAATTACACTGAGAAAATTGTTCTCCCTAAAAAACCCTTGAAGATTTGTTCAGCAAATGTTTCAAGTCAGAGCACACAAGGAGACTAAGATCCTAATTCAATAAATGTATAATGCTAACATTTTAATCCATTGCTAAATGTAAATAACTTTAGTGATCCCAGTCGGACTATTTAATATTAATTTAAAGTATTTTATAATATAGCATGTGTCTCTTCTCATGGGGCAAAGTAGAAAGGTGAACAATTATCTAATAACTGCTAACAATGTACTCAGCAAAACCTGGCAAGTCATGCCCCTCAATTCCTTTTATTTATATCTGGGGTAAATGTCTTAGCCCATATAACGACCTCCACTGGAGGCCCATTCAGGTGTGTGTATCCATCTCTGTTAACATCGGTAGAATGAAGAATAAAGCAACAGCTTAGAGAATTAGTTGATATCTTACAAATTTAATCACAGATAGCCAGTCCAAATTGTTCAGATTTCACTGTCTTTTTCTTTTTTTTTAGCAGCTAGAAGGGAGAATAATAATGCCTGCATTTTCCAAATGATTAATTCAATTCTCCAATTTATTTTGCCTTCAGTAGACGTCGTCTGCTTCTCTCTCTAAAAGACACTGGTAGTTGCATGAGGAAAGAAAATAAATGTGTTTTGAGAGAGCACCAATATACCTCAGTACACTAGATGTGTTTCATTGATAATGTCTAACCACTGGGACTGAGGACCTTCAATCCCCCTAGGGTGTCTCTCCAAGCCTTTCTAAATAGCCTTGTCCAACTCCTTACAGACTTGGAGGTGGGAGGAAGGAAAGAAAGAAGGGAGAAAGGGAGGGAGAGACATGGGGAGAAAGAAAGAACCAGAGAAAGAAAGAAAAAGAAAGTGAAAATGGTTAGTCTATGAAGTTGGAGTTGAAATTTGAGGGTATTGAAAAAAATAATTAACAACGAAAAATGGTTTGACAGAAAAACTTGTACTCCACCAATATCCCAGCAGTTTTCTAAGAGCCTAGTTGGATATGAAACTTGAGATCTGTCAACATTTTATAGTTGCCCTGATTTAATAAGCATTTTTCCTTCTTTTCTTTAACTGCCAAATTTTTTAATGAAATTGAATCTTGGATGCCTACATTCTGGGGAGTTTTATTTGCTATATTATAGTTCTGTCTGCTTTTAGGCCACAGAATGCCAAAGTATTTATTCTTACAAATCTTTCTACATATGTAATTTGAGTCTACTAAAATAGTCCTTTACCCACTTCATTAATTAAGTTGACAGAAAAGATTATTTTACAATTTTGCAGCAAATGACTCTTCATCCAAATTTTTGAATGAACGTTGTGCATTTGTATGTTATTTTATAGCCTATGCCTCCTCAAATCACTTCACACCATCAGATATAAAACTTTTTAACATAAAAGACTAACTTTTGCAGTTGATCTGAAACCTCAACGAGAGTAAAATGTTTTTACCTCTTTCCAAGTAATAGTCTTTTTTTTTTTTTTTTCACTTGCGGTATTTTCATCATTTTAACCTCAAACTTTTTAGGAGATTAAGAAACAAACCTCAAAAAGTAGTTAGGCTAAACCGATTTCTATTTTCAGAAGCTCATCAGTAATATTTAGACATCACCAATGAGTCATCAGTCTCTTAAATACTCTCTGAAATCAACAAGCAATAAATCACATGTAGGAATAAATGTCATCATAAACATCATATATGTTTTTTTGGTAAAGAAATATACATTTACATAAACATGAATAAACAAAATATTTTATAATTCAGTACAAATAACTCTCATTACATAAGAGAGGTCCTTTTATCATGGTGCTCCATAAAACTTCAAATTTTTATCATTTTGATTCCTTTATCAACTAGGACAAATAACACTTAAAGTATAAAATTCTGGTATATCATTTCTCTGCATTTTCTTAACACAAATGAGCATCTGGACCCTTGCCAATGAATGCCAATGTATTCACTTTAACTGTAGTTCTTATTTTAACCAGAAAAGGCCTCTGAAAATCCAAAGATTCAAAATACCATTTCAAGGAAGCAAATAAGTAACCTGGCATCCCATATTATACAAATCAAGTATAATATATGCCTCAAATTTGCTTTTACATTTTGAATTATCACTAGACTACTGAATGTCTTTCAATGCATATAGAGGACCATAAGATCAACTAGTTAAAAATGTTTTCTCTAGAATAGAATAAAAAATAAAAGGACTAATCTCTTTTATTGCCTCCAAAATTTAATTTTTATTCTAAGACAACAGTTTTTTATGTGTGGAAAAAAAGACAAAAAAATAGGTACTTGACTTTAGATGAAATGTTTATATTTTAAATATGCTGTCCTTATTTTATGTAAAACAAGTTATTCAACTTCACAGTACTTTTAAAGGGGGCGTGCATAAAATATTAATACTACGAACCTATTATTTACTGATTTCTGTGGTGCCATCTACAGTTAGCACAATTCAGATTTCAAAACAAATTTTGAATTTTTTTCAATATGAATAAGATTCACTCACTTCTTATTTTAAGACTATCTGTTATAGAACGTATTGTTAATCATAGAAGTTTGGTATATTACACATGGGCATGTTATATGCAAATGTATTCAGTTGGGGTATGTATATATTTTGTTATGTTATGTACATAAACATCTACCCTTGTGCATATGTATATTTACATCATGTATAAATATGTGTAGTATATTACCAAACTGTACTATACTTAAGGAGGAGGAGGAGCTTCCAAGGATTGCCATACAATATTTTAGTTAACTGAGTACTGTTTCCTGTGAAAGTAATTAGGTTGTTTTTTGTTTTTTGCTTTTCACAGTCCCAAAGGTGGGTGTTTATAGACATAGTTTAGTAATTCGCTGTTTTCCAAAAGCCTAGTTTTAAAATTTTATGTCAACAAATGCTTTAAATAAATAAAAGTGATCCCCTCCTCTTCACCTTTCCCTTATTTTAGGAAGGCCTATGGGCAAACAGCTTGATAAATAATTCAGAGAAAAGCTAAACCTTGATTCTAAAAACAAAAGCTCACCCAGTTAAACACTCACATTTTACCATTAACATTCTTTGTTAAAATTTACCTGCCTATAAATTATCTTTTGAAAAAGAGTGATTGAAATTGTGTCAAGACTCTAGCTGGGGAGGGCCTTTGGCAGATGCTAGTGAGTGTGTTACTTAGAACCCTTCTCTAGCACAAGAGGTCCTATAAATAATTATGGCTAACAGTAAAATCATCTCATATTAATAAATCCAAGACAGAAAAAATATATATCACAGGTATTTCAAAACTCGTGAAAATCATTAGATGCAAACAACAGGGCAAAAACAGGACAACTAAAGGCCTGTGCTCCGTTTCTCTTTAGAATCCCTCTGAATCTCAGGTTATCAAAAGTACATTTTGGCAACGGGGTTCATGGCCTCATTGAGGGAGAGGAATGTTTAACCTTTTTCTGATTTTTTCTGTCCTGTTTCCCCTTGAGAGTAGAACAAACTTGGTGGGACCAGGGAGGGAGGGAGGCCCTGGTTAATGTTTTAAGAAGGGGGAATGTAATTTGGCCCAAGTTTTCTTCTGCTAGTTGCCTTTTCTCTTATGGAGAGATCCTTGACAGCCCTTGCTTTGTATGAAATTACGGAAATCAAAGACTGGGAAAGGGGAGTCATTATTTCAGAACTGAAAAGGTATGGGTGTCTTTACTCGAACCCTCTCCCCGCTAATTTCCCATCGCTGGAAAGAGACTAGCAGGTTGGAAAGGTGCACAGGAGGGCTACCACTGGTCAGCTACATAAACAGAAGCCCCAAAAGTAATTTGCAACTGGTTCCTACCTCGTCCCATCACTCCAAAACTAAAAACAGCCTCTGCGCAGCAATTTTTAAGGCCAAAACAGAGAGAAAGCAGATACCCAAGTCCCCAAACGTGGCTTCCTGGTGCGTGAAATCCAGCCTAACGAGCAGGCTGGATGATGGACATGCCCTCGGCTAACATTGTCCCTTTCAGCCTCACCCTGGCTCACGTGGGTCAGGGTGTCCATCAAAATCCCCGGACCACAAGGGGGATCTCTTTGGGAATCAGATTGGGAAGGCTCAGGCGAAAGAGGGAGATGCCTGTGTAGAGAACCGAGGAGGGGGGCGGGGGAATAATCAGCTCTGCTCTAAGGTTGCAGATTTAGATCTCAGGCTGAAAAGGATATGCTTGCACCAGAGCATCCTGTAGCGCCTCCTGTCCTGCCCTGCCCTGGCCTGCGCGCGCACCGCATCCACACGCACACCCGTCCTCGCACGCGCACACACGCACACTGCTCCCCGCCGCTCTACCCTCTGGAATGCAAGGGAAACGGTTCCTCCGGGGCGCGCTCGCCGGGGGTGAGGCGGCCGAGGCCGGCCCAGCCCAGCCTGGTGCCTGGCGCCGGTCGCTGCCCCTGCGGAGAGGCAGCGCGGCCTTCCGGACTCCGGAGCGCGCGGGCCGGGAACTAGGCGCGCGGCCGCTGGCACACGCGGGGACTGCCCAGCGCGGACCCGAGAAGGGGCGCGAAGGGGTTGGGGAGGGGGTGACGCCGGCTGCCCCACCCCGCTCCGCGCCGCGCTCCATGGCCCTCGCTCCTGTCTTCCTCTCCCACCCTGCCGCTCCCCGCCGATGGAAACTCGCGTTTGAAAAAAGCGCCTGCGGGCGCCCTTGAGCTGGCGGGCGGCCGTGCGTGTCCGCGCCGCGGCCCGGGACGCGGCCAGCGCGGGGACCTCGCTGGCAATAGCGCCCCGGCGGGCCCTCAGGTGCCGGCCTGCAGGGGGCGCCGGCGCGCTTGCGCCCCGCCGGGTCCCCGCCGCCCACCTTCGCCCGCAGCGGAAGGTTAGGATGGAGGACCCGGATGGGAGTTGGCTCCCGGCGCGCCTCTCTGGAGGGTCGGCGGAGCCCTCAGGCTGGTGCTCACCCGTAGGACCGGGACGGGGTTGTCACACTTGTCACCAATGACGGGCCGCGCGGCGTCGCAGTCGGCTTTCCAGTCTCCGCGGCTGGAGGAGGCCTCGGGGCGGCAGGGGGAGTTTGCCTCCCTGCGGGCTGGCTCCCTACACTCAGTGGTTACTACGGGCTTGGGAGGGGGAGCCTGTCTTTTCTCTCCTCGCAGAGCTGCGGGAGGCGTCGGAAAGTTTCCCACCGCTGGAGGGACGAAGGCGGATGGATCGAGAGCCGTGCTTCCCGCTGGGATGGCCCGAAAGTACCAGAGGTCTCGCTGGCGAGCAGCGCCCTCGGCTTCCCCGGCAGTCACCCCAAACGCACACCCTTCCCCTGGCCGAAGGAACCCCAGGCTGCCTAGGAAACGGCTCCCGCGGACCTGGCGGGCCCTGGGATGGAGAGCCCGGCGGGGTTGGGGGGGGCCCGCGAATCTGCTGCGGGCGCAGCGTCGGGGCGTCTGGCCCCTGCCCAGCCGGTGGGCCGCGCCTGCCTTCCCACTCGGTGGGGCTGTGCGCCCCCACCCACGGGAGTTGCCCGTGCTGCAGCAGCGTTCGAAAGGGAAAGTGGGGGCCACGTTCCCAGAGGAACAGAGTTCCAGACCTCTCAGGGCTGGGGACTCCGTCGGACCCACGGGTTCCGCAAATACTCCAGAGGGGTGCCCAGGGCCGAAGGTGCCTCCTGGGCAGACCTGAGCCTGTGAAACTCCGAAAGGGTGTCCTGCTTCCTTTCTCACTCCAGAAGTTCAACTGAGCTTCTTGTAATGACTGTCCCCCGCTCTGACCCGGCCCCACCAGCCAAGCCGAGGCCAGAGGTGTGCGGATTTTTTTTTAAGACCCACATCTTGTAAATGTGAGATTTTTATCAGGCAGCACAGATTACTTAAAGCGTTCCATTTCTCCGCGATCCAATTTTATTAGGATTTACTCTCATTTGTGCTCCGCTTCTCTGGGGAAATAATGCTTTGATTAATGTAATCCTGGCCCGGGATCCGCCACATGCCCCTCGACCCTCTCCCAAGAGAAGGACCCTATTTGACAAACAATAACAGAGCAGTAACTCTTGCAATCTGCCCACACCTTTGGGGTTGGCTGGGGAGAGGGTGACACACGTTCACTCGCCGCTTTCTAAAAGCAATGGCGAGAGGAGAGAGTAGGGAACTTTCCAAATGCAGAGCCCTGACTCTCAGTCGCCCGGGCTCGCCGGGAGGGGCCCGGGCGAGAGAGCGCGTGGGTACGTGGGTGCCTGTGCGCGCCTGCCCTTTGCTTGCTCGGGATGTCCGCCTTTGTCCCCCGCCACGGGCCTCCACTGCGGGATCTGAGCGCCGCCGGTTGGGCAGCCCTCGACCCGGGGCGCGTCCACAGCGCTCACCCGCGGCCCCCAAACACCTCGAGAGCAGATGTTAGGGGTTAACTAGGCACCGACCTGAGGCGCCCTGCAGCTGCCAAAAGCTCGACCGGAAACCTAGAACATGGGACCCAATTCACCGGTTTTCCTCATCCGTACATGCATCCATCCATCCCTGCATGCGTACATGCATACAATACAAATCCCCGGAGGCCGGCAGAGAGGGCTGCGCCTCGCCCTTGCTGCGGGCTGAGAGTGGGTACCCCCTTCCAGCTCTTCCTCCTCCCGCGCAGCCCCGGCCCCCTCCCCAAAGGGAGAACAGCTCAATTACGAAAAGGAGCCAAGGAACGAAATCCCAGGCTCAGAGGCGCCCGCCGTAGCTCCTCGGTTCCCTGTCCCCGTCGCGCAGTCCCCACCCCCACCGTCCCCAGCTCGGGGAGGGCGGGGACGTGGCGGTGCGAGGGGTCCTGCCCTGCTCCGCCGGAACAAAGCCCGCCGCGGGAGCCCGCGGCCGCGCACCAAATCAGTGACAAAGGCAAGCGGGCGGCGCCGAGCTCCAAGTCTGCGCTCCTACGGCTTGGCGGGAAGGAGGCCCAGAAGATGGGGTGCGATTTGCACCCAGGTTTTCCTGGGCTGCGGCACTTCGCTCCCCTGTACCCAGTGACCTGTTAGGGTGACTCAGCGTTTATCTCGTCGCCTCCCTGCTGTCCCATCTCCTTCTGTCTTGTCCTTTTCTGTCCCCAGTCTCCTTCACCGCTCCCTGCATTTTTAAATCCACCTCACTCCTTGTACCTTACCCGCTTCTCACTTTGCCCTATTTACCTCTTTCCCTTTTTCTTTCCCATAGAAAAGCAATGCTAATTCGACTTCTGAAGGCCGCTCTAGACGTTCAAATAACAGTCTGAAAGACCTTGCTGGGCAGTGCTCAGGGAGAAAAGGGGAGTAATAGGATCCTTTTAATTTTATTATGCAAACTGTGCGCTAAATAAAATAAAACGTCCTTAGAATGCGATCTAAGGAAGCGGAGCTTAGCCCTGGGGCCCCACGAATCGCCAGGGATTCGGGAGAAGTCGCTTCTGGTGCCCACAAATCACAGGAACGGGGGCGGGGGGGCGGGGGTGAGAGGAGGACCCCACCGCTGTGGAACGGGGACCTCTGCGCTGGAGCCTCCAAAACAAACCTTTCTGGGAAAAGTTCTCATCTTACTTTCTAACCCTGGAAAGGAATTGCTTGCCAGACCCCTGCAATAAAATCATAGTATTTTCGAATTTAGGATACTTTACTAGTCAGTGTTTTTCCAAGCGAAGTTTTACTTGTTTGTTTTTGTGACGTGAATTAAAAATGAAGGGAATGCAGACATTTGAACAATATATACCTTGATTTCTGGAGGCTTTTTGTACCCTGATTTAATAGTAAATTAATATTGGAAGTGTATTAAATGGCACTGTAAGCCTGAGCTCCTTCCCTTGGGCTTTATTGAGTAACCAGGCGCCCTGTTGAAAATTTAGGGAGAGAGGTGAGCATTCAAAGCAACATCAGACACATAACTTTTAACTTGAGACTAACAAACTCAAGCTGCCTGAAGCTGCAGTGAGCAAGGTCACTTAGCTCCACCACCAAAGCGTCTACCAGATATGTCCATGCTGAAAGTGTATCACTGTAAACCATGGTATTTGTAGTATCAAATATCAACAAATATACCTAGCACTGTATTTTTAAAGTGAACAACAATAAATACACTTTCTTGAAAACACGCCTGAGGCTGGCTGTCCAGGGCTGGCACTGGGGCAGCTTAGGGCCCAGGGAAGGAGCGAGATAGTGAACTGGGTGTTTTAGCATTCACCGGAGAGGAGACCACAGAAGCACAGTTTGAGGGGAATGCCGAAAAGAGCAGCCACAGCCTGACGTGCTGCATCTGCACCCAGCTCCTCAGACAATAGCTAAGTTCAAATGTCAAAAAAAAAAAAAAAAACTAATAATAATAAAAACAGAGACGCCAAAGTGCAAGAATTGTTTTCTGGGATGTATGCCACATGAATCTCTTATCCACCTCCAGACTACCCTGTTCCGACCCAGAAAGGCGATGCTGTATAATAATTTATGAGGAATACAGAGTGTCCCCAAGACGGAGAGAGCAGTTCAATTCTGTTAGGATCACCACAAGCTCAAAGAATCAAACCACTTTTCTGGTAAAGCTGAGTTAATATTTCTGGGTGTTGTCTTTACACATACAAATATAAAAACCACCAATGTGACCTTGGAATGTTTTTCTAGCTAGGAAATGACTAAATTTTGTTAATGAATCATCATCATCATCATCATCATCATCTCTGGTCAATCAGCCGGGCTCTATGTTACCTAGCCCTATGAATTTAAATTTGAAAAAGAGCATTGCACTCAGCGGGGAGGCAGGGAGGGTGGTGAGGGGGCAGGCAGGAACAGTCCATCACACTGTGTCAGCCCCATCTTCCCTGGCGATTGGTAGCTTTCATTACCAGACTTGTCAGGTGCACGCCAGCATGCAGCTCAAGTGGGCAAACTGTTGGAAATGGGTTGTTTTAAAAGCATTCGCTCAATTACCAACTTACTGTGCTTTCTTAGCTTATTTCCCACAATCTGAAATGCCCTGTAGTTTAAAGCTGTCCTATAAGTATCAGAAAGAAAGCTTCTTGCTTTCAGGTAAGAAATCATAGTATCTTCGAATGTATAATTACTCTGACACCATCCAAAAACCTAAGTACTTGCTCCTTTTCTATAGATCGGATAAATCAGTTATCAAGGTGATACAAAGAATTAGAAGAAACATTGCAAAAACTTAGCGAGACCAAGAAACAACTTATCCACTGGCAAGACAGCAAATCATTTTTCCCACCCAAAATCTTCCGTGGAAGAGCCGTCCTCTTTGCATATAACACAGAGTGTGGGTTGCGAGTATGCTTAACATTTTAATTTATAAATGCTAATGGTAAATGTGCTTCCGAACTGCAGCAATATCAGGGCACCTTAGCATTCTCAAATGGAAACAAATGAGTAAATACTCACTTTGTGTTTTGTACATTTGACCCAGGTAATGTTTTCCATTCTCTCATTTGGCAAAAGCAATTTCACCATCCTCAACAATTAAAAGTCTGTAGCTTTGCCCAGCACTTTGTATCTTAATTCATATCCAGCTTGATCACTTCCACCCCCAAATCATTATAAAACGCTAAAGCCATCTCTATAATAATATCAGTTCTTGTCAAATTAACTTGTTGCTCTACCCAGATTTCTTATTTTCTGTTTCTTTTACATTAAGGACTCTAGGACTATCGATATCATGAGGGGCAAGCATTTTATCTTTCTGTTTATTGTTTAATTACATTTGCAAAAAAAGGAAAGTAGCAAGCAAGACAGTAACAATCACAGATCTCATGAAAAGTGGCACACAAAAATTATGCTCTACATATATATAATGATTGCTTCACCAATTTTTTTTTGCAGAATGTCTGGCTGAATTGAAAAGTTTCCTTTCTCCTTAATAATTTTTAAATGCATTCAGCAGCCCTGGGCATGCAAAGAAGCAGGAGCTTTGAGACAGCCATCCACTTCATGTGGATCTGCCTCAGAAGTCTTTTGTCTGAAATGTTCTGAAAGCCAAAGAGAAAGCAGTGTTTGGGCTCAAATTACAGTTTTCTCAATTCTCCACTTTGTCTTATTAGTGCAAACCTGAGAGTACCTTTCCTGACTCTAAATGTGAGTGCTCGGGTTGAAAATCACAGATTAAAATGTGTTTGAGTGTGCCTGCTTTGCTTATACTGTTCCCAGAATCTCTTGACCCTCCTAGAGTACCCACCACTTAAATCCAAACTCTGACTTACTAAAGTTCATGTCAGAAAAACTTCTCCTGGTTGGAACCTGGTTGACTTGGAGCTGGGTTAGAAAGAATAAAGTGTCTTTTCCTCTCTTGCACAGGAACGTGAGAGCCATCACGTAACGAAGCCCTTACTAACAGGCTCCGTGACACATTCACAGGTGTGTTCGCCTACTGAACCGTGGAAGCCAGCTTCTCACTTCCAGTCACTCTGGGCTTCCCTTTCCTAGTCACACTCTCTGAATCTCCTTGGGAAAATTCTTAGTGACAAACTGGCTAATTCTGAATCAGTCCGGATCTGCCCTTCACTACTTTAAGAACTTTTCCAGATATCTTTTTTGTCCTTTACCACAATAAAGTTCAGTCTTCAGTGGCAGTATGTAAATATCTCTGAGGCGGAAACCTTGTGCTCTATTGAAACTTTTCTTCAACTGGGTTAAGTAATGCACTAAAAAGTTTCAAGCCCACAGTTACCTCTAACCCTTGGCTATTTTGTATTTTCCTTTCTCTGCCAAGCCTTTCAAGGATAAATCCAAAATCTTTCTAAAACCATAAGTGGTAACAAGAATGAAAGTAGCCACTAAATATCAAATGGAGTAAAAGTGATCCTGGGCCAGTGGACTAAATCTCCAGGACTCAGAGTTGCATTTAGAAGTCAAAGCATGTATCAGGTTGAAGAACTTTCATAATTTAAACAGATAATACCTTATGATGCATTTCGTTTCCTTGACTATTTCGCTTCCTTCAAAACAACAACAACAACAACTAAAAGGTAGATTCTTAAGTAGCCTATTAAACCCCCTTAATAATTTTCAAAAACTATTCTTGCTTTCGCATCTCATTTCTGTTTTCCAGCCCAGAATACACTTCACTGAGAGAAATGGAGGAATAGTTTTTGAACTGTATTTCTTTCTGGGCCATTTCACAGACATGGGCCAGTGGGGGATGGGGAAGTCATTGTCCTTGTATTTTAAAACCCTGTATTATGCAATGAATTCACTCCTCATTGTGACTATGCATAGAAAGGTAGGGGTGTTTGAGCAGATTTGCTTTTGAAACAGCTACATTTTACTCAGTACTCGCTAAAACGAGTCAGTGCGCCCCCTGCTGACAAGTCAATAGTGCTGCTCCTGAGCAAAGTTTATTTTGTTCAGTAAACCGTGTCACATAAAATTAACAACAACCAATAAAATTAGCTTATATGTTTCAACTGTAAAAGTCCAAAACAAAATAAAGCTAGTTTTAGTGGCACTAGAAATCTCTAGTTTGGCTTCTCTTTGGCTGGACCAAGGTCCTTTTATCTAAAGCCCAGTGCACAAACATATAGCTTAATGTGACTAGTGTTCTTCCTTTTATTTCTTTCTCTATGGCAACCAATATGCTCTGCTCAGAAATGTTCCCCATCAAGGAAACAAATGATCTTCAGGGAGCAGCTCTATATGGCATCTGGTCCAATGGAGCACACAGAGTTAACCCCAGTCAAAAGCAACGCTGCCAAGCACGTAAACAAGGAGTGGAAAACTGGCGATTCTTAGCCCCCTCCCCAACTGAAACCTCTTCCTCCCTCGTTACAAACCGTTTCATTGATTTGGCATCAACTGTTTCCAAATAAATTGCCAATTCTAAATTGCAAGGTGTTCTGTGTAAAAAAGTGCAATAAAATTCCAGCCATTGGATTCTCCCCCCTCATCATCACGGACGCAGTATCCTTTAAAAGAACAAAACCAAGAAGCTTTTAACATTTTCTCTGGCCTATTTCACTAAGGTAAGGCACTCAAATGGGCCTAGACTTGGCCTAGCTGTGTCCTCCAGTCATGTTTATCTAATTAACCGCACCTAGCAAGTAACTGTACCCTCAATTTTCACAAAACCCAGAAACAGTGGCAAGGAGGAGACAAGTGGGGCTGTCAAAAATAGAAAACAAAGTGAAATCGACTCTGCGATGCTAAAGCTCCAGCGTCCTTTGGCAATGAAGCGTAGGGATGTCCTGGTTAGTTTTGATTGATCACCCTCTTTCTGATGGGCTTTCACTACCGAGCTGGGAGGCTGCAGCTCCCCGCCTGCTCCCCAGACACAGCATTAACCAGGGGTGCCCTGACTTCCTGCCTGGCTTCCTCCTCCTCCAGCTCTCTGCCTTCTCTTTGCCAAGTCCCCCTCCTCTCTCCATCCCCCTGCTCCCAGCGTGCGTCCCCCTACCCCAATCCAGGCAGGCACACACAATTCAGAACATCACCACTGGCTACAGAAACAGGGTTCCTTCCCCTCTAGTCCTGATTCTCTGGGGGAGGGGGAGAACAACCCCAATCAAGAAATATTTATGGACAGTATGCTTAATAATCACTTCTTTTCCAGGGTTTCTTCCCCAGCACCCACCTTCACAATCAACCACTAAAATGAATAGCATTCTCCCCCCACCCCTCCAAAGTAAAGTGGCTTGCTGTGTGGGGCTTTGGACTGAGTCCATCTTTTTATGTAATATTTTAGCAGGGTTGAATTTTTTTAACTCCCCCCCAACACATCTTCCCTTCCTTCCTTCCTTCCAACAGTTGCTCTGTGAACCTCTCTTGTCCTAAGCAATGAAAATAAGCTCCTAAACGTACAAGAACATAAATAAATAAGCCAAAAAGAAGGGGAAAAAGAAGAGAAAGCAGGGAAAGAAAATGAAAAAAGACTTACCGAGCAAACTTCCAGGGTTAGGTTTTTAAATAAAAGGTTTTTTTGTTTTTGTTTTTGTTTTGTTTTGTTTTTTCAAATAAGGTAACTGGGTTGGGGGTGGAGGGGAAGGTATATTCTCAACTCTCCAGCACCGTTGCGTCCTTAGCCTTCCCTTCACACTGACGCCTCGAAGCCCAGCTCTCCACTAGTCTATTATTTTCACCAAAATATATGAAAATGTATGCAAATGAAAATCAGCACTAACTGTTCTCCCCTTGTTATATACTTTGGATTTTTTTTTCCAGACAAAACAATCACATTCGCAAAGGGAGGGGGGCGGATGGGGTGGGGCAGCGTGGAGGGGGGGAGAGGCCGGGGAGCGATTCGAGAATTCTGTACGGCGAAAGGGGGGAGGAAGAAGGGGACAGACCTAGGAACAGGAGCGTATTTCTGTTATCAAGGAGCACAACGTTTTGGGGGGCTTCCCAAACGCACACACACCCTTCTTGAAAAGAAAGAAAGTGGATCTGTTTGCAGAGGCGCTATCACGTTACATCAGGCCACCTGAGACTGCTTTTGAAAGCGTGTACTGTGAAATTCATAGCAGTAATTTAGACAAAATCCTCACTGTATATTAATGAAAGGCGGCCCCATGGCTCTGTTCCTATCCTCCCCATTCAGTGTAAACAAAACCACGAGACTCTCTCGGTTTTTGAGCCGGATCCAAGCAAAATCGGCAGGAAAGGAAAACACGGGGTGCTGGCACCGACTATTCAAACGTCTGCACCTGGAGATCTCAGATTTATTCAATGAAATCTGTGTTCCATCTTTTATACATACATATACGCATACATAAATATAAAAAGCGACCTTTGGGGGACGCAGAGGGAAAAAAATCCGTTGTTTGAGGTTTAGTTACCACTGCCTTTCATATCTATACCTTAGCAATAATGGCTTTGCTAAAATCTACCTACGATGGTATCTCACCCGGCAAGCAGGAGCTGGACAAGAGCCTACATAAATTCTACGCATCTAGTGTTAATCTTGAGATCACGCAGAGGCTGCGTGGCTGCAGCTGGACAGAGAACTCCTGCTTTCACTGAGTTCACCTAACTGCGCTCGGCAGAGGCACGATACAGAGGGAGAGAAGGGCAGGCCGGTTCACATTTTAATCGAAGCGCACCGGCAGCAGCTCCTCGTCTGCGTCCTGGGCCGCCGCTCCGGCTCGGGACTGCCAGATGCAGGCGCAGGCTGGGGGCCGCGGGCGCAGGGCCGGCGCACCCGCACCTGGGGGTGCGGGATGCACGCACACGCACGCTCATTAAGAGCCATGTATTTATTGAATGTCCGAGTTGGGTTAGTTCATTGGAAATCCCCGAGGAGGGTTCAATTTGCCCTTGTTTTCGTTGCCACTTTCTCTTTTTTCTTGGTTCGCTGAGGTTCCTCTGTGCAGCGTTTCCGCTTGGCCGCGTCTCCCCCCCCCCACCCCCCCCCCCCCCCCCCCCCCCCCCCCCCCCCCCCCCCCGCCTACTGGGTGCACTCCCCCTCCCGTCCCCCTTAACTCTTTCAGCTGGGCTAGAGCTGAGAAAGCGTTTGTCGCCGCCAGCCCCATCCACCACACAAATCCATCTGAGACAGAAAGGAAAGAAAGAAAAAAAGCACCACCAGGCATGCCTAAGAATAGGGAGCGAGCAAACCCCCCACCGCTAACACACACACACACACACACACACACACACACACACACACGACGAAGCGGTGGAGCAGAGAAGGGCGCGGCTAGCGGATCCCGGTTCTTTCGCCCGGCTCCTGCTGCCACGGGAATTCCTAAAGCCATGGAGTCGAATACACTTACGATGAATCTATGGGGGAAGGTCGGACTGATTGCTTTTCAAATACATCGCACGGCTCCGCTGACCGGCACCCTCCAAACTCACAAGGGCACGCACGCTACTTGCACGAATCCCAGAGGAGGGAGGAGGGAAGAAGGGAGGGAGAGCGAAGGAGGGAGAGAGGGGGTGGGGAAGCGAGCGAGCTGCGGCGGCGAGCGGTCCGTCTCGCACGCGCGGGCATCGCGCTGGTCCTGGGCTGCAGGTTTCCCAGATGATGGCATCCGAGAACTTAAACAAAGGGGGCCGCCGCCGGCGCGCAGCGGCTGCGGAAAGTTGCGGTGGCGGATTTCCAAGGAGCGTAGTGGCCACGACCAGAGCTCTTGTCGATGCGAGCCCCCGCTTCCCACCCCCGCCGATCAGAGATGGGGGCTGGCTGGTGAAGGGAAGAGGAAACTTTGAAACCACTGGGGACACATCTGTCTATAGGTATTAGCTTGAACGGTACGTCTGTGCCGCGCGCTTTACAAATCTCTGGCGGGGCGGGGGGAGTGGGGTGAGCAATCCGACGCGTACTAGGTGGGGTGGGCAGGTTGCTATTTTTCATGTTTCCCTCTTCGTTTCGTTTTCCTTCTGATTCTCTTCCCCCACCTCCACCCCCACCCCCCATCTCCCGTCCCTCCCTCCCTTTTATCTCCCCTTTCTTCCCCCGGCCCAGACCTATTGCGAACGCCCGGAGCCGCCGAGGGAACGCCGATGTCTGGGCCGGACACTAAGAGTTAAGATGTGGCGGAGGGGGCGGCGGGGGAGGGGCGGGGAGGGGAAAGTGGCGAAGGGGAGGGAGGCTGGGGGACGACAGATTTCCAGCTTCTACGACGCTCTGCCTAAATTAAAAAGCAACCAATCGGAACGGCCGGAAGGGGGGCCTCGCGTCCCGAGCCAGTCATTCCCAGCCTGCCAATCACCCAGCGGGTAGCCAATCAGCGGGGGCCCTGGTGCTCGACTTCCTTGTATTTGGGAAAGTGTGGTGGTGGGTGCGCGCTCGCGGCGGAGGGTAAACATTCGACAGTCCCCGCTCTGAGAGGGAGGGACAGAGAGCGAACTGTCAGATCGGAGAGCGGGCGCCCGAGAGGGGAGAGAGAGAGGGAGGGAGAGGGAAAGTGAGAGAGGGAAAGAGAGCGCGAACGAGGGCGCAGAGCGAGCTCCTGCTGCAACTCTGCTCCAGCACGGCCAGCGCCAGCGCCCGCCGTCGGTGCACTCTACGAGCCGTGGAACGTGCACACTGGAGTTGTTGTGTATCAAGGATCGATCCCCTATATGCACACACACACCTCCACCTCCACCAATGCACTCTTCTTCCTCCTCCTTCTCCAGACAACTGCTGGGAAAAAAATAAAACACCAACCCCAACCGTCAGCAACAAGGTAACAGAGCGATTCGACATCATTTTTTTTCCTGTTCAATTTTTTCCTTGTTATATTTGTTTCCTAATTTCTGCCCAAAAGGAAAGATGTCGCATCAGACTGTGACTGTTGCGAGGAGAATGAAAAAGGACTCTTGTTTCAGAGGCAACCAAAAGCTCCGGCAATAGCAACTTCAGAGAAATGCACCATCGCAAGAAGTTTTCCTAGGACAGAACAAAACTTGAAACCAGAGGACCAGAGGGGGAGAGCAGGAGCCAGCCTCCCCTCTCCGCACTCGCGAGCAGCCTGCAGCACCACGCCTTCAAGGACGAAAAAAGTTTTACTACTCTAAGGGAAAACCAGTGAAATGTGTTCCTGAGGAGGAGAGGAGAGAGCGGACCAGAGAAGGAGCGGACCGGTTGCTGGTCATCCGTAATTTGGCTAAAGAAGAAAGGAGCAGCTTCTTTCTTTGTTGTCTCCCGTGAAACCTTCACTTAGCAGGTGGACGGAGCCCTGCGGCCGGGCAGGGTCCGGGCTCGCCCAAGGACAGGAGGAGGAGGAGCGGGAGCCCGCGCGCCCCGGGAGAGCGCCCCAAGTGCAGGTCCCCGCCCTGCCCGGCGAGCCCCACTGGAGCCAGCCGAGCGCGCCGGGGCTGGGGGGCGTCCACGACCCCCCCTGAAAGGGGTGGCCACGGAGCGCACCTCGAGAAGCGAGCCCCCCTCCCCAGAGCGCTGCTCCTGCGGCTGCTGCTGCTGCTGGTGACCAAGGCCGGCCGGCGACCCCCGCGCCCTGCCGAGCGGCCTTGCAGCTGCAGCCGGGGGCCGCGGCGGCGGCGGCGGCGGCGGGGGCGGAGGCGGCGGCGGCGGAGGAGGAGGCGGCGAAGGCGGCGGGGCCGGCGGGGGCCCGGGGCGGGGGCGGGGAAGGAGGGGGGAGGAGGCGGGAGGCGGGAGGCGCGGCGGCGGCGGCGGCGGCGGCGGCCGCGGCTGCTGCTGCGGCGGCGGCGGTGGTGGCGGCGGTGGGGTGGCGGGAGCGGAGCGGCATGGCCACGGCGGCTTCTAACCCCTACCTGCCGGGGAACAGCCTGCTCGCGGCCGGCTCCATTGTGCACTCGGAGGCGGCAGGGGCCGGCGGCGGCGGCGGTGGCGGCGGCGGCGGCGGCGGGGGCGGTGCAGGGGGCGGGGGCGGCGGCATGCAGCCGGGCAGCGCCGCTGTGACCTCGGGCGCTTACCGTGGGGACCCGTCCTCTGTCAAGATGGTCCAGAGCGACTTCATGCAGGGGGCCATGGCCGCCAGCAACGGCGGCCATATGCTGAGCCACGCGCACCAGTGGGTCACAGCCCTGCCCCACGCCGCCGCCGCCGCCGCCGCTGCCGCCGCCGCCGCCGTGGAGGCGAGCTCGCCGTGGTCGGGCAGCGCCGTGGGCATGGCAGGCAGCCCCCAGCAGCCGCCGCAGCCGCCGCCGCCACCGCCGCAGGGCCCCGACGTGAAGGGCGGCGGGGGGCGCGACGACCTGCACGCGGGCACAGCGCTGCATCACCGCGGGCCGCCGCACCTCGGCCCCCCGCCACCGCCCCCGCATCAGGGCCACCCCGGGGGCTGGGGAGCGGCCGCCGCTGCCGCCGCAGCCGCCGCCGCCGCCGCCGCCGCCGCGCACCTCCCGTCCATGGCCGGGGGCCAGCAGCCACCGCCGCAGAGTCTGCTCTACTCGCAGCCCGGGGGCTTCACGGTGAATGGCATGCTGAGCGCGCCCCCGGGACCCGGCGGCGGCGGCGGCGGAGCGGGCGGCGGCGCCCAGAGCCTGGTGCACCCGGGGCTGGTGCGCGGGGACACGCCAGAGCTGGCCGAGCACCACCACCACCACCACCACCACGCTCACCCGCACCCGCCGCACCCGCACCACGCGCAGGGACCCCCGCACCACGGCGGCGGCGGCGGCGGCGCGGGGCCTGGACTCAACAGCCACGATCCTCACTCGGACGAGGACACGCCGACGTCGGACGACTTAGAGCAATTCGCCAAGCAGTTCAAGCAGCGGCGCATCAAGCTGGGCTTCACGCAGGCCGACGTGGGGCTGGCGCTGGGCACGCTCTACGGCAACGTGTTCTCGCAGACCACCATCTGCCGCTTCGAGGCCCTGCAGCTGAGCTTCAAGAACATGTGCAAGCTCAAGCCACTGCTGAACAAGTGGCTGGAGGAGGCGGACTCGAGCACCGGCAGCCCCACGAGCATCGACAAGATCGCGGCGCAGGGCCGGAAGCGCAAGAAGCGGACCTCTATCGAGGTGAGCGTCAAGGGCGCGCTGGAGAGCCACTTCCTCAAGTGCCCCAAGCCCTCCGCACAGGAGATCACCAACCTGGCCGACAGCCTGCAGCTAGAGAAGGAGGTGGTGCGGGTCTGGTTCTGCAATCGGCGCCAAAAGGAGAAGCGCATGACGCCGCCCGGGATCCAACAGCAGACGCCCGACGACGTCTACTCGCAGGTGGGCACCGTGAGCGCCGACACGCCACCGCCGCACCACGGGCTGCAGACGAGCGTACAGTGAAGCCAGGGCGCAGCGCGATGAGGGCCGCCGCCGCCGCCGCCGCCTCCGCAGCCGTTGTCAGCACCGCCGCAGCCCCCGCCGCCGCCGCCGCCGCCGCTGCCGCCGCGCGGACCCTGCACCTGGGCCGCTTCGGGCTTCAGCCCAGGCCCATCCGCCGCCCTCCCCTCCGCCCAGAGACAGGCATGCCCGCCCTTGGAGGAGAAAACACGGGAGAGACGGACCCAGGAGGCATTTTTGCAGTCCAAGGAAGGAGGGGCCAAAAAATAAAAAGCATAATAAACACCCAAACTGTTTTATATACATATATAACAAACAAAACCGGAAGAGAAAACGGGGCGATCATGAGATCTCGTTTATACTGTGGTGGTGTTTCGTTTTTGTTTTTGTTTGTAAAGAAGGGTGAAGATGCCTGACGCACTAAAACTGCACTGGTGAGGTTTTCCCACCCTGAGATGATCTACAGGGCAACGGTGGACGGCACCTGCCTCGTCTTCTCCTCTTTGAAAAAAAAGAGAGGGTCCCTTTTCCTTTCACTTTCTTCCTCTAAAACAGCTGCCTAAAGAGATCCACGGAAACTTTATTTCCTGGGAGCGACCTGAGAGAAAACAGAGGCACCCGGTTCCATTAGGGATGATGCCGTGCTCTGGGACCCTGTTTTTCTTGGCCATAATAAAGTCATTTGGAAACAAACAAATCAACTCTGAAACGGAAAGGAGGGGGAAAAAAAACAATCTCCGAGAAAGAAAAATAATAATAATGATTAAATTCACAGCTTCTGAAACTAACAGACTGAATAGCTAAGCCAAAAGAAAAGTATCCTCAAAGTAACCTTGGAAATAAAAGCATCGGGAAGGAGCAGAGGGAGAGGGGAGTGGCGAGAGGCCCGGGCTGAGTCGGGTCGCAGCGGGCGGGCGGACTGGGAGCGGAGCGGGGCCCGAACCAGCGAGGCCGCCGATCCAGGCCCGGCCGCGTACTCAGTCTTTGACGACTGCCATTCAGGGTGGACAATGCCTAAAGATTCCACCGCTAATATTTTTTTTATTAATATTTTTTATTTTTTATTTCTGGACTGACTCAGATAAAGGAATTTAGAAAGACTGAGCACCAGCCGCTGCACTTCTCTGGACTTCTCTCCTCAGTCCTTTGCCAACTTTGATTGAATGGGTGCTGTGGATGTGATTATATAATACTGCCATTTCCAAGCAGTGTTTTTGGTAGGTTTTAATAAACAGACTTTTCAAAAGACGGCAATATAGAATTGTTAGATCCGTTGTTGATCTAAAAATATTTGCTTTATATTTTCATTAAATGACTTCTTTTAATATTTTATTCAGAATACTTATGAACTGCTGCAAAACGGTAATTTATTTTTCCCCAGATCTTGTATTACGTGTTTTTTTCAGACGAGCACAAATCAAAATGAAATGAAAATATGGACAGTTGTTAGGTAATAAGGGTATCTTTTGATGTGATCATTTGATTGTAATTTAATTTGAGTAGTGATTCCGTAAGAGCTGATCGAGAAAATAAATTTGTTAGAATGAAATAGTCTGTGTCTGATGCGTAAACACTGTGTGGGAAGAAAAGAGTTCTTTAGGACATATTTTTTTACTAATGAAAATCCTTAAGTAATAGCGTTGAGGAAGTAGAGCCTGCTCCACTTAAGGTACTTTTGGAAATCTAGAGAAAGCATAGACATTGCTGAGACAGTATTTTAACATAGTAGTCATTCCTCGTTTATCCATAAACTCACAATATTTCCCCCTCCCTTAGTTTTAGTGAATGTCTTTAGTGTTTTTAGGTGAGATTGCCTAAATACTGACCCTTTTCTTGGCGATACCTGTGTTTCTTATTGAAAGATTGAACAAGATCACCAGTAAAAAACGAGCCAACTGGTTATTAATGGTTAATACAGCCCCTCCTCCCAAGTGCAGCTTTTTTCTTCTCTTGCCCCCTCCCAACATGTTCCTGTCTCTTTTCTCTTTTTCTCAAGACTATAGTTGTTAAGAGTCACTTATAAGTCTATAAAATATTTTGATATCAATTACTTCCCATCAATAACTATATGTAATTAAAATTAAATTATTAATCTTTTTGGGTTTTTTCCCCCTGTAATGAAAGAGTATAGTTCTAAAATCTTGACTGTGGTGTACACTGCATACCATCTGTACAATTACCAACTCAGACTTAAGGTTCTATGTGTCTCTGTTTTTGTCTCTCCCCAGTGTGATTCTATATCTTCTTTACTGGTGCTGGGGGTTTTAGCTTTTAGGTCGCCTTTCAGATAAACCCTGCATCGCGGTCACATTGATCAAGTTAATGTTTCAATATTTACAATGTGGGAAAATGAAAATGCAATGCCTCAGGTTGTGAATACTTAAGACGCTAAAGGCTCTGCTTAGTTGAGTCCCTACATATTGTACTTAAAAAAAAAAAAGTATTTAGTGGTGATAGAGCAAGGATTTTATAGACAGATTTCCCCCAATCTCACTTAGCTGTCACTCACTTCTTTCCTCCTTCTCTCGTCTTCACTCCCTCTCCTGTGATATCAATGCAGGGGTTAAAAAACCCAGAAAACTGTGAGAGCAACAAGGAACAGTTATTTCTCCCAGACAGGCTCTGTGTCACTTTCATAAATCAAGCCCAGCCAGATGGCCATGTATTGGGTTGCATTATTTTAAACACCAAATCGTACTAAAAATCACAATCATTTTGATTTGTGAAATCTGAAAAAGGCCACATTTATTAAACAGAGAGAAGAAAAAAAATGAAGACAAGAAACCACAATTTAGTTTTCTTTGCCTTCTTGTTCCCCATTTCTCTTGCTGCTGTAATCCCTATGCCCAGCAAATTTACAACCTGGAGTGGGGGTGGGGGAGAAGTTCACCCTTTTGGGGGTGTCTACAGAGGCAAGCAAAGAAGTCCTCATGGGAAAGCTCAGGACTGGTCAGGTTGTTTTTATGTGGTGGATACAACTGGCACGTGAGATGGAATCTTGTTTTTCCTACGGGAATGGTGGTGGTTGATTAGACAAGTAATGGGTCTATTAAAAAAATTTAGGAGGTATCTGCTTACTTGATTTAGCTGACAACAAAAGAGCTAACATTAGATTTCACACTGTTTTCTATTAAAAAGCAAACTTTGCTGATTACTCTGGAAGAATCCCTGATTTGGGGGTAGCAGAGTAACTTTTAATTGGAGAAGCCGGGAAAGCAAGCCCATTTTGTTTCATTATTTTGCATTTTATAAAGTGAGCTAATGCTTGCACTCCATTTTTTTAATCAACCCTTTGAATGTAATTACAAAATGAAATTCATCGTTGAAAAACAAAAGAGGGCAGATATAACTGAGAGGTTTTGTGCTAAGGCTTATATTGTTACACATGTAAATAATGAAAATATTGTTATATATCACCAGATCCTTTTAATGAATTTGGTCATTGTGTTCCTTTGCAGCGCAAGTGTCTTGTGCTTCGTAAAGTGCCCATTTGTTTCCTCCATTTCAATCCAATCCCCCCTCCCCTTCCAACCCAAAGGAAAGTGACAAAGTTCTGTTCCATCAGCCTGGCTAATCCCAAACTAGGCCCATTTACAGTTTACAGTCTCCTGTGGCTCTTGATCAGTTGTCCAAGCCTCCGTAGGGTCACCTCACTCCCACAAACATCTTCCCCTGGCAAGTCTGTGAGATAAATCATTCAAGGTGTATTTAAAATAGTCACTTTGCTGTTTTTGCTCTGCCTTTTTTTTTTTTTTTTTTTTTTTTTTTTTTTTTTTTTTTTTTTTTTTTTTTTTTTTTTTTTTTTTTTTTTTTTTTTTTTTTTTTTTTTTTNTTTTTTTTTTTTTTTTTTTTTTTTTTTTTTTTTTTTTAGTGGTTAGCCAAGGACTACTTCTTTGTTCCAAAATAGAACTGTTCATTATTGATCTTTAGCGATTCCCTCTGCTGCCCTGTAGCCTCCAGTGTTTGCTCATGACCATGCTCATAATTTGTTTTGTATGAATGGTTTTCAACATTCAGAGAATAATTGGTTCTAATATTAAATGCAGTATATACTATTGATAGTTTTATCGATAAGTGTAATATTTTAAATAATTTTAACAATTAAATTTGTTTTTTAAATTATATATTTGTAAAGTATTTATCCTGTTGGAAGCAACAATATATTGTTGTATTTATTCGTTTATTTTTGTAATAAATGATCAACCTCTTTAAGCTAAATCAAAAATGATACTTTTATATATTTATACAAAAATGCACTTTAAGAGATGGGCATATTTGCACTAATTTGTATGTAAATTGAGTAAGATCCATTAATAACTTGTAGCTTTCAGAACTAAATTGAAGGAAGAAACATTCTCTCCACATGGAGTTTAGTTTGCCCAAGTTCCAGGGTAATTAATCAACTCTAAAATGGATGCAACAAGAATTGGCAGTGGATGCAGACTTGAAATTAATTATTTAAAAGGTGGACCTGATTGTTTTTGTTAAGGCAGAAAGACAAAAATTAAAGAATTTTCTTCTTTCATGAAATGCACGTGGCTGGCTGCAACGATTAGAGCAGATGCTATGTTTCAGTGATAACCTAATACCTGACTGTGCTCAGACATCAATGTTGGGAAAGGGAGTTGAAATAAGAGATGGGAGTTTGAGGTTATCAGTGACCCAGAAACAAGGTGATATGAAAAAAGAAGAGTTGTGCTAGATTAAAGAAAAAAAAATTCGATGATCTATAAAATGACTGTGAGTGGAGAAGCCGTTTATCCTGGTCCTGCTACTAACAGCATAAGCAATCAGCACAGGTGTTGTCGTTGTTGTTGTTCAGAGTGATGAATTTGAGAATTGTGGGGCAACCTCTCAGGCTCTCCAAGTTCTGTAGGTCAGTTGGTCATCTCAGCTCCACAGGGCTGCTGGTCTGAGGCCCTGAAGGTCACCCATGTGACCTCCTGGGTGCGGGATCCTCACAGTAGGTTTGACGTTGATTTCAATAAGGAAAGCAGAGGGCTCTGCGTTTGCATCCTGAACTTTGCAGCCTAGGAAAGGAAATAGTGCGCAGGCTGGAGGAGCTGGGGGTGGGGGCAGCGGAGATAGCAGGAGGGGTACTTGTGTAATCAGATTCTTTGATTTTGTTAGCCTGGCTCATGGCCTATTAATTAGATTACTCTCTCTTTCATTCTTGATTTCACATCCGTGTTTGTTCCTGTATCCTAAAATGTGGGCGCGAGCTTGGCGAGCAGGAGCCTATGATGTCACTGCCGGCCAGAGGCGGCCGCCTGGCCTTCTGGCGGGCTGTGGGCTGCGTTCTTGATGAGACCGGTCTTCCTCAAGGAAGAGTCGGCTCTGGAAGTGACCTCAGAGGTGTCTGGGAAGAGGGCAACAGGCATTCTCGTGGCGGCACGTTGTGTGCGCTAGTGTGTGTGCGCGTGCCGTGTGCTTGTGGGTGCGCGTGAGGGGAGGAGAATGCGGAAATTCGCAGTCTGGACCCCGAAGCCCTAGGGATGCAGGCGACTGGGTCAGGTGTAAGGCCTGCCTCCGGTGAAAACCCGGGATCAGAAGAGGCGGAGGGGGAGGGAGACCCGGGGCATTCGGTAGTCCAAAGCTCGCTTCTCTCCGGGAGGGAGGGCAGGGCTGGGCGCAGAGGTAGGGCGGTGACAGTCGCGGTGGGGCGGCCGGGCGGCCAGACTGTGGCAGCTGCTGCGGGTCCCACAAGTTGTTTTCCTCGTGGCGACCATTCAGCAAAACGCACGATCCTTTCTCAAAGATTTAAATTTCGCGGATGAATTACCATACACCGGTTGCTTAGCAACTAAATTCAAGCAGGGCTAAGAATATGCAAGCTTTTTGTATTCTCATTAATAAAAATGCCACTCTGACACAGCAACCCGACTTTGGATCACTGCAACTTCTGTAAAAGCCGTAGGAGAATACAAACCGATCCTGCCTTTCAATTACAGATCAAAATGGCTTGAAACGCGATGTTTTGTTCATCTATCTTCCTAAAAAGCGATGTAAAAAATAACGGCTTTCGAGAGCAGTAGTAAATTCTTCTTTTTTAATGGAGTTGTCTATCGGGGTTACTGATAATTGTCAACTGAACCTTTTTGAAACACAGGTTTAAATAAACCTTTTTATAAACATTTCCACTCCCCCCCTCAGTCCCTCCTACCCTCTGATCCTATTCTTCCCTGGCCTCATAATAACAATTATTATTGTTATTATTATTATTCGGGAAACACTCAAGCCTGGGGAGCCCTAGAGACTAAAGGGCAGTCAGCAGAGTAATGAGCAAACTTGGGACCTAGAGAAAGTCCGTGAGGAGCGAGGGAAAGGGAAACTTCTCAAAGTTTCCTTGGAAGGTTGAGGAATTTGCTGGAGACTGGAGTCGGCTCAGGTTCCAGAGGTTCTGTCGATAACTTTCTGGGGAGCTTGTGGAAAGAAAGGTTAGAAATGTTGTGGGTCTCTGCGCGATGTTTGCGGATTTTCCGTTCTAGGGGTGCAGCCTCCTCCCGGGAGAATTGAGTTGCCGCCCCCGCTGAGGACTGTGGAGTTCAGAGGGGCTGAGTTCAAGGCCTGGCTGTGTCGGCCTCTCTCTGAAATCCCCATCTCTGCTGCCCAGGGCCCTAGAGCCCTGGAGCAGAGGACAAAGTAAAGACGGATATGGACCCGTGACCCCTTGGGTCTTCCAGGACTGTGGCCCAGACCAGGGCCTGAAATTGACATGGAGGGCGTACGTACTCTGTTTGTCTTCCAGAAGGATGCGGCGCGTGGAAGGAGATGCACTGGCTGGTTCCAACCCGTAATCTTTCGCTCGGTTCCCAGTGTGCGGGGCAGAAGTCAGAGCAGAACGGCCTAGTGCACTGGCAGGTCTCATTGTTTGGGAAGACACCGAGGTCCAGGCAGCTGGGACTGTGGAACGGAGGCAAGGCGATAGGCCGTAGGCGGCTTTGTGGAAGTTTCGCGCCACCAGGCCCTGCGCGCCGCACTGGGCGGTGGAGTTCTTGGGTGGCTCCCGGCGCTTGGCCCACGCCTCCGCTTCCCGCGTGTGGGAAACTCTAGAGCCCTACAGGCACCAGGGTAGACTGCCTGTGCCTGGCCCGGTGACAGTCACCCCACCCCCCCGACCCCAGATCCCATCTCCGCCGGAAGATTGCAGGCCTGGGCCTAGGGACGATACTGACTGAAACCGCGGTGTGCGGGCGCCGGCAGCAGGGCAAGGCAGGGGACTGTGCCCAGTCCGCCCACCAAGGAGATCGCACGCCGGCTACGCTTCTGAAGCTGCAAACTGAGGCCGTGGTCAGCGTTAGAAAGATCCAGGGACAAAAGCGAAACTCCAGATTAATCCCCATAACATTCCCAGGGAGCCATCCTTCCTCCCCCCAGTACTTAGGTAAACATAGAGGTGCCGCCTCCCCAAGTGAGCCTGGAAGTTTAAACCCCACAACTGACTCTATTTAAACCGATTTCTTTCTAGTGAGTACCAGAAAACAGTGGAACTTAAACAAACCATAAGTGGAAATATTTGCTGTGTTATAGCATGCTCAGAGGCATTAAAGTTCATTTTTTTATCCCAGTAAAACATACATAATGAACAGAGAGCCATTTATTTACAAATACAAATGTCCGAGACAAGCCACATTCCATGTATACAATTCATTAATGGAATTTGTTCCTTTTCCTTCCTTTGGAAACGGAAATTTTGGCTTTTAAAAATGGCTTGGTTCTGGGGAGGGGTAGGAGAGCAGTTAGTTTACCTGGTCTTTGAAAAGGGAGCAGAAGCGCCCAGCCAATTCCTGTCTGGAAAGAATGTTAAACAGTATAAAATAACCTTTTAAAATAGATGGAGAGGTTTTTGTTTTCTTTTTTTACTCTTCAGAAAGGAAGTCTGTTGGTTGTAGTTGCTGTCACCAGAATTGCCCAGTGGAAATGGGCTGGTAATATCACCCTAGTTGACACGTGCATGTGCATATGTGTGCACGCACGTGAGTGTGAACAAAATTGCATTTTAAATGCCTTAAGCTGGATGGGAATATACCAAAATTGTATCTGTAAAATGTGCTCAGTTGCCACAGTTTTAGAAAGTCCGTGGAAATGTGCCCACTGGCCTGCCTCCTTCCTGAGAGTGTTAGGTGATGACTTCCTAGTCACTGGCATGACCAGGATCAATTACCTGGTGAGACTGAGTCTGGTATTTTTTAATTCAGGAAGTTTTCTCTAAGCGAATCCCCTTTCCCTGTAAGTTCATAGAGGGGTGTTGTTTGAGGGAGAGTTGTCCAGAAGAAGGCAGAATCAAGTGTGAATGATCTGTGTGGCCCAGTCAGCAATGAATAAATGTGAAAAGCACAAAATACATCCGAGGTATATCTGGGACTTCGTGAGTTCCCAACACTAGGCATGGTTACAAAGGACAAAAAGAATGATCACTGCTGCCTATGTTTCATTATTGTAGCTACAAAATAATGGAACAGACACTGAGAGGGAACCAAAAACTTTTTAATTTTTTTTTTTTTTTAAGAAAAGGGATAAGAGGTGTTCTGATGAGCTTCCTGGGAGATCACATATTAGCTCTGTCCTCCAGGACTGCCTCTTGGCATAAGGCAGGCCCATTTAGTTGGCTGGAACACTGCACACTGAAATAGAATAGATATTCATTTCAAAGAATTTTCCTTGAGCCAGCCATAAAATAAAAGGTGTCAAAACCCACCATGCTCACTGTACCCAGGTTCAGACAGGGAAACTTCGAGGTGTGAGTGAGGCTAGCTAGATTTGTTCCTTTCTGCCCCTAACAGGGTCTCAGAGGGAGGGTGAGTCTGTGTTTCACTTACATTTTCAAGGTTGAAAACTGTCCTGCAGAGTTAAAAAAAATAAATTAAATAGGTCTAATCAGAAAGTATAGTATCACCCAGAAACTAACCAAATCAAAAGAAATGTCTTAGTAGCTTGGTCTTGAGAATCTTTAGGTGACAATAGTGAAAAAGCCATCGTACAACAAAATAACATCTACAAACTATTTTAAATTAACATTTCATGGGGAGAAATCTTTCAAATTTCAAAATCGCTCAGGCAAGCCTACTGATTCTACTTTGTACGCCTTAAAGATTTCTGCCAAGCAAGGCTTTAAAAACGTTTTGCTCCTGAAAGAAGGTCTTAAACTCTTCCAAGAACTATTTAATAGTTGTCCTGAATGTTTTTTAACAAGAGAGGGATGTTAAGTGAGTAGCCTTGAGTCTCATGCAGCCTGGGGGAGTAGAAGTGGTGGACACTCAAAGCAGGGAGCAGCCTGCACCTGAAACGGGCTGGGCTTCCGCTTTTCAGTGAGAAGAGGAGGCCGAGGTCAGCAGTATTTATATATGTACCTGATCCCACTGGCTTTCCTCTGTTTATCAAAGAGGAGGGTCTGCAATTGAGGGGCTGGAAGTGAGGGGAGAGGAAGACCAAAAGAGAGATCAGTTACCTTTCCTCTTTGTTCCTGGGCCTTGAACTGGGGCTTGAAGAAGGGGAATAAAAGCCCCCAGGGAATGAAGCTTCCACCTCCATTTGCATCATCCTGACACCCCCGCCAGAAAACCAAGTCCTGGCTGATTTGGGGCAAAATGGTAACTTGAGGAATCCCAGTGTGAGTCTGTTACATAACACACAGAATCCTCTGTGGGGAGAGGTGCGCTCACTTGATTTTCTCCAAATGACTGTGTGCAGGCGGAAAGCCCTAGAAAGGAGGACTGAAGACAAGTTAAATAGGAAGACTGTGGGGGAATGGGGAAAAGTGTAACCATATATGACAGGGCACATGTAAGCTTGTGTGCATGTAAAGTCCTACCTCCACCCTCTGTGTGCCAGAGCATCCTTCAGGGATCCTGCCTAGAGCTGCACCTTGGCTCAGCAGGAGTCCATCCTTTACAACGGTGATATGGTGGGGGCAGTGGTACCCAAGGCTACTGGGACTGGTTGCCCTGTGGGGCAGTAGGAGCCAGGTTAGTTCATAACTGCGTCATCCTCAACCAGTTCTTTTTGTCAGAATCCTCAAATATTTAGCCTGGGCAGGCAGGTTACCCCCTCCTCTTTGCGCCCTGCTGTGCCCACCGCAGTCGCCCTACGGTGGCAGGCGAGCTACCCTCGATCATCAGTAGCAGTATGGCGCCGCTGCAGCAACCCGAGGTCACATTCATAAAGCCTGTTCTTCCAGGACAGCATCGCCCCAATCCTGCAGGCGGGACGAACTGTGTTTATCTGCCCCAAGCACGGAGGGGAGACTGTAGCCAACGGACGAGAATCTTGCAGGAGGGGAGGTGGAACAGGGCAGTTGATTCTGGGCAGATCCCCTGTGCCAGGTCCTCTCCGCTGGGGGCGAGCCAGGAGGGAACCGAGGGGCCCGGGAGGAGCTGCTGAAGGCGCGCAGGCTGACAAAGCTGTAACAAAGGCTTCCTGCAAAACTAGTACAAGGATCTTTAAAGAATCACACACCTTGCAGGCGTGTCCCCAGCTCCCGGGACGCCGAGCCCGCTGATTGTTCCCCCGGGCTCCGCAGATGTGCCCGGCTGTCAGCGGTGTGGGGCTGGCAGTCCAGCCTCTCGGCCTCTGCCCGTGAGCTCCCACAGGCCTGCGCGGGTACTGGTAGGTGGCCGCGCCTGGGCCCGCGGGGCTTTGGCAATGGCTGTTCCCCTGGAGGCTCAGTCAGGCGGTGGCCTTGTTGGGCAATATGCCTCGCCCTTGGTTGGCCCGGGAAGGTCGCGGGCTACAATCTGGCCTGAGGAGGCAGGCCCTGAAGCCTCCCCGCTGGGCAAGCAGAAGAGCGTTCGAGAAGCGGGGAGCTGGCGGGGCTGGCGGGGCGTCTGAGTCACCCGAGCTGCAGAACGGACGCCCCCACGACACGCTGTTGGGCACTCACAGTGGCTAGTGGAGCATTTCCCAACGGCCAAGGCTATGCACTCCGACCCTGCTGAGGTCCCCTTTAGTCCCCGAAGATCCAGGTCCTCCCGACCCTCTACCCGGCGCCCCCCGCCGCCATTGAACCCTGGGGCAACCCTGGGACCCGACCTTCAGCTGGTGGGTAGGAATTGGAGGGAGAAGATTGGCGCCCCAACACGCGTAGACTGGGAGAGTTGACATCAACGCGGGAGAGGGATTGGGAAATAGTAAGAAAAAAATCACCCGAATGATCCCCAACTTCACCCCCACGCCCCTACGGGGTTTTGAAGGCTCCGGCGCAGCTCCCATGGGCCTCTCGGAGTGGTGGGAGAGGCGCTGCTCCGGCACCTCCCGGGCTCAGGAGTGGGGCTCAGCGCAGAGCAGGCGGCAGTGAGAAGCTCAGGGCCCGAGTTCAGGGCTAGGAGCAGGTGCAGAAACCCATTAGGCAGAAGTGTTTCCCGTCCACCGGCAAAGTGGATGGTGAGAACACAACTCTGGGAAAGGGCAGGCTTGGATATAAAATATAGTCAGTGACTGTTCCCCTACTTCTTGGTGTCCCCTTTCTTGAACTCAACTCAAGAGAAGCTCAGAAGCATCGCTACAGACCTCCAGCTTCCAGCTGCGGGCACCCACCCGCCAAGCCTCCCAGAGCCCAGGTCTGCCAAAGCTGGTTCAAGCCCTCAGGTCAGACCTGCAGACACATTCCCTAACCACCCTCCCACCACCCCTGGCCTGGGGTGGGCTGGGGCTTCCACCTCCCAAATGACTGCTGCCTTGGGGCCTGCTCTGAAATTCCAGCGGGCTGATCTACCCTGGAAGGAGGAGGGGGAGGCAATGAGTGACACAAGCCCCCACCCCTGGCTACAAACAGTGCAAATGAGATGCATTTAGGCTGATCACGCTACTGTATTTTATGCAACTTAATGTGTCTATGTCTTGTCAACTCTTCTAGTCAGGAAGAATAGCAGAAAAAAACCTTAAAAGATTTTCTATGTGTGTGTGTGGTTTCCAACTATAATTCCATATAGGGTGGTGGGGTGAGGGTGGGGCAGGGAGACTTGCTGACATGAACAACATTATATCAACCCTCCTAAAATGCAATTTTAAGCCACAAAAAAAAAAGAAGGGAAAACAGGTGGGGAAGGGGTTATGGCTCCTGGCAAGAGATCTTGATGCAATTAGGTGGATTCTGGCTGGGAAAAGTTTAAAGCTGTAATGTTTCTTTTCTTTTTTACTTTTTTTAAAAAAAATTTCTTCTCTTTTCTTTTCTTTTTTTTTTTTTTTTCTTTCACTAGCGTGGCTCTTATAAGCCTGGTAATATTTCTTTTAAATAAATGAACTCATTTATATTTATTTGGGTACAGGGGACAGGTCCTGAATAATATGTAGGCCCACCTAGGGGAGTGTCAAGGGTGCCCTAGGAGGGGATAGGTTTTCTGACACAATGGAGGCCCTGTATGGGCGATGGAGTGTCTGTTCTCCTCTTTATGTCAATTTTCAAACAAGTTGTAAGTAGAGGAAATCTGCCTTCAACTCTCACCAGTCTCTCCCACCAGGTGTCCTGAGACTTGAGTGATGTGGGTCTCCTGTAAGGTAAGTGGAGGGGGCGCCAGGTTCTAAGAGACAAATAGCTTCTGGTACTGTGCCCCAGTCCTGCTTCTGCAGTTTCCCCATGCACTTTGGGAGCGCTCTGGAACTCCCCGCAGGACAGCTGGATAGGATCACAGAGTCAATAAACCCAGAGCCAGCGCCACCGCCAGCCCTTCAGGCTTCTTTGCCTCTGACCCCAGAAAGGGGAACAACTGATTATCCTTGCCCTGTTCAGAGGCCCTGCCTCCCCCACAACCAGGCTTAGTGGTAGGCAGAGCCCAAACAGAACTCATTTGCTGGGAGTCTTTGCTGGGAGTTATAAGCCGACTCTTGTGGCAGCCTCTTGCTCCTCTTTCAAGGGGTACCCAGGGTCAGCAGGGAATTTGTTTGAGGGGAGCCTCTGGGTCCTCTGAGTTCTCAGGGTGCCTCGTGGTGCCCTGGAACAGAAATGAAATTGTGTGGATACCTGAAGCTCTCCTCTTTAGATTTGCCTCTGGGGTCGATTGTCCAGTTACAAAAGTGACTAACTTCACTTTCAGGACTCAGGGTCATCAAACATAGGCTGCCCACAGTCTGGGCCAGACCAAAGGGGCTTGTCCCTAGGGAGGCACCAAAGGGAGAATGCCCCAGGCCCATTTCATTCCACTGAGCTTTTTGAACTCCTAGGTGTCTAAGGTAATACCATGCCATCCTGTTACCTGTGCAGGATTCCCTGCTGTATTTCTTGGCACTGCCTGAGGTGTAAGCTGCCCCACTGCAGGGCAATTAACTCTGACAAATAGAAATGGGGAGGGGGGATCATGTGCTTCACATCAAGAGAGGAGGCCACCCAGTGCTCAAAAAGTATCAAAACTTTTCGCTGCTTAGGAGAGCAGTGTGCTTGTCACTAGCAGCTCGGGTTTCTACCATGCAGCCTGGGCATTTCCATACCAACCTAGTAAACACATCAGAACCAGATGCTGGGCGGGTGCTGCTGTAGGCTTCCACCTAGGAGGGAGGTGATGGGGAAACATCCCAAGCCAGGGACTTGAAGTTCATTGCTCCAAACACTCTCTGTGTCCTGAAGGGCTGAACTATGGGACAATGAGCTGAGATGACCTATATCAAGATGAACTGCTGGCTCCTCCAAGTGCCCAGCTGCCTAGCCTGCCTGCTACACAGTGACTAAAGAATCTCTGCTAACTCCCTCCTCCTTTCTTCTCATGGACTCCAGCAGAAATGTATTCCCTTCCTCCCTCCAGGCCTCCTCCTCCCATCCCAGAATGAGCAGAGACTTCCATTTGGGATAAGAAGGGGTGTCAATCAAGAGGCGAGGAGGGCTGGCAAATCATCTTCAGTAATAAAACCAGCCACACAGTAGCCTTTACACCAATATACTGCTCTCAGTAACCTTTTCTTTTCAGTCACGTAGCTTATGACATGCTAAAGCCATTTCAACCCATGAGCAAAAATAAAATTCAAAACCTAGGCCAAATTCCTTCTTTCGCTTTGCTGTTTGGGGTCCCCATTCTACATTTCCTCACCTTCCAACCATCCCAATAGCCATTACTTCATCTGAAGAATTAAAACACTTGTTCCTTAAAATCTTCCAGGGTCTGCTGCATTATCAGAGAAATTGAAGAGAGAAAGCACCCCTGCTCCTTCCTGATTCTGCATCCAAACTAAGTACCATATATCGTGTAACCATCATCATCAATTACACTTTGCATAACTTGACAGAGCCAGAAAGGAAGACTCCATTATTTACCAGCAGTTGCAATAAACTTTACTGAGAGAAATAAATTCAACATTGGCCATAAATACCTCCTAGAGAACTCTTGAAAAACCTAACCTCCGTTATTTTAGCCTCCTATTTTGGGGAAGGAGTGCAGTAAAAATGTTAGGTAGCAGAATTTTAAAACAGCTTGATTACCTCAATTGGATTTGGAGTCCTCTACTCCAGTCATTAGTAATAAAGTCATTAATAGTCATAATTGGTATTTAATTGCTTGATCTGATTGGTGCTTTATTCCTGACTCCATTTAGCTTCCTGGAGAAGTACAGGTGGTGCAGTAAGTAAACGGAAGCCAGCCATTTGCAGGCAACTTTTCAAGCAGAAGGGAAAGTACTTTTGTTATATTTGCAGACATGTGTCTCACACATTTTCTCCCTGCTTTTGGTAAACTATCTAAGAATAAACATTACAGATCTGGATTTTAATTCCTCCAGATGGGATCATAAAGTACCTAGGAGGTAGGGGTGGATGTGTGTGTGTGTGTGATATAGAATTGAGGTCACATGGCTACTGTTCACACTGCAAGTCAAAAAGAAACTCAATGCCCAATACGATCGCAGAAAGAACTGAACAACTGAATCGCCAGTGGAATCCAGTATCTGGGCAAGTTCACTTTTATTCCTTCGCAGGAAGAGGGTCAGCGACGGCCAGCGGAAGTTTCCCCCGCTCTTTGAAGAAAGAGGTAGCGAGATCTGCCAGGCCGTCCCACGCGCGGGCTTCCTGGGTTCCGGGGCTTTCGTGACCTCTTCCCTCATCTCGCTCCCCACTCCCCAAAGCAAACACATACTCTCTCTGAGACACACACACACACACACACACACACACGCACACACACAATCTTCTGTGCTCGGGAAACTGGACTTCAGCCTGGCTCCACCTTTCAAAACCCCCCGGAGAACTTCCTCTGCAGGGCTGCCCCGCACCCACCGGCTGCGCCCTCCCTCTCCTCCGCCCTGCGCCTTCTGTCCGCTTCCCCGCGCTCTGTACTCACCCGGCGCGGTCCTTCCATTCCACACACAGACAGGAAACCGGCCTCTTCGGGACAACATTTGAAACCACATTTTATCAACATCATCAAAGATTAGAGCACACACTTCGGGCTCTGAGCTCCAGAGCCAGCTTCTTGCAGTACACCGGGTATGGGGGAAGGGCTGCAGGGGCGAGAAATCCTGCTTCCAACTGCGATTTCAGCTTTCTTATGGAAATGAACGCGACGGCCCCGAGCCGGGCTCCCGTCCCCAGCCCCCCTTCTGCCGGCCCTTTCCTCCCGCTAACCTCCGCCCTCCTAGTCCCCGAGTTCCCGCGGCGGCCAGGCTAGTGGGGAAGCGCTCGCTCTGCGCCAGGGTCTCTGCGCGCGCGGAAACCCTGGCCGTGGGCTCCCCTCCGCCCTGCCGGCCCGCGCACAGTATTAAATATTCATAGGGACGCTACTTTCTTAAAGGAGAACCTACCGCGCGGGAAAGTTCACAGCCAAGCGGAGGCACAAAAGAAGGTCTCCGCGCTGGCTCTCGAGGGCGAGGAGACGCATCCCTTCTCCAAGACAGTGCGCTTCCAGACTGGCATTAAGGAGAGGACTAGGGAACGGGATCACCTATCGTCAAGTCACTTGTTTTAGAGGGGGTGGAAGAAGAGGTGAACTTGGTAGTGGAGAGAAAGCGCGCTCCCTAACCACCCGTTAAACAGTTATTTTAAAATTAGTTGTCGCATCTAACGCCCTAGGGTCCCCAAGGGGCTTTTCATAAGGAAGTCTGTTTAATTTCACCGGCTTTGGGCGCGAGAAAGGTTGCCCTGTGTTGCTGGAAACGTGCACGCATTCGCTTAGGAAATCAATCTTACACCAAACAATTTCCTTGGAGCGGCTAAAACAGCAGCAACCAAACCTGCACCTGCCCCATTCTCTTAAAAAGAGAGCAGCGGCTGTGAGCGCTGGGGCCGTAAGTCAGGGCGGAGAAAGGGGCTGTCATGTGCGTCCCAGCTCTCCACCCCGCAAGTTCCGGACCCCTTTCCTCTCGCGCACTGTGGCCCCGCGGTCATTTGGAGCCAGCGCTGGATTCTTGAGGCCGCGGCCGGCTCTCTCGGCTTCTCTCCGGGAGAGTGGCCAGGGCCTAGGCGCGAGCCCAAGAGGGAGAGCGAAGGGAAAACGAAGAAAGTTCTCCGCCTGCCGCACAGCTCCTCCCGCGAGCGCGCCCCTGCCCTGGGCCGAGCCGACCCGCGATGGGGCCACGCGTAGTGCCAGGCGACGCCCGTGCCCTGTGCCCGGCCCCGCGCGCGCACTCGCACTCACACACGCACACACACTCACACTCACACCCCACGGTTCTTTTTGTTCCGGGCCAGGAGCATTTTCACAAGTGGTTAGAAAGTATTGGGCGCCATCTAACGGGAGCAGCAAAAAGTTGACGCTGGGTGGAGGTTAGGACCAACCTGGCGCCCAGGATGGGCGGAGGGGGTCTTCTCTCCCACTCTCTGCACTCCTGGTCTTGACCCCCTGCCTCCCAATTACCACCACCAAAAACATACACACATGTTGGAGAACTTCGGAGCCTCCGGAAACCTCCTTGCCCAGGGCCTGGGGGCAACCCTGACTGCCCGCTCTGGGAACTTCCCCTGCCCGGCCTTACCTCCTTTCTGCGTTCCTTAAGGTGCACAGAAGAAGAGGGATCGTTTTGCGCCTGTCTTAATAAGGCCCCTGAGTCCTGCAAGTTTTTCCAAGTCTGGTTTTCCTTTGGCCTGTGATGGAAAGTCCGAAGAGGCCCGGGGCAGGCGCACCTGCTTTTGTTAAGGAACAGCCACCCAATTAAGGAGTCTGAAGCCAGCGGGGCTTCCAGAGGAGGGAGAGGGAGCTTAAAGAGGATAATGGCAAGGAAGCAACTGAGGACTTGGTCCAGCAGTGGCCCCAGGAGAGCTAAAACCTGCGGGTCTCCTG